TCAGTCTTTTTAATCTGACACTTCATTTTTGAAAATAGTACGAATCGCGCAGATTTTATGGCACTGAAAAAAAATTAAATAATTATTTTATGCATAAGCAAAAAACGTATTACTTCAGAAAGTGCAAAAAATTAGCAGGTTTTTATTTCTTCTTTCGGAAGCTAAAAACCCGTACTATTTAATAAAATAATAAAAAAAAAACTATTTTTATATATATTTTTTATTCATTCCATTAAAAATTTAGTATTTTTTTAAATTTTGTTAAAAAAAATAAATTTTTCGCTTTTCGGGAATACCGCAGGGACACCCTGTGTTTAATTTAATTCCAAAATTTTTATTCCTGTAATTCTCTACTATCTATATGGAAATAAAAAATGTATTTTTGAATTTTTTTTCCGTTTAGAGCTTACGCATGTCTAGGCTCTTATTAAAATTCTTAGTATAAAATTTTTCGACTTTAGTGGCTTCCTGGCAGCATATAATCTATTTTTTAGGGAAATTTCTGTTTAATTATTTTTAGTGGATAAAATGCCTTTACAAAAATACCAAACACGTTCACATTGCAGATAACGAATTTTTCGATTTTTGCCCACTTAGGCGGCACTGTGCGCCAGTCCGCAACCCCTTTGGTTCGTCTCCACAGAATTTATTATTTTACAGCGATGAAACGTCAGCTTGTAGTACTCTGCCAACTGATCAATGAAATTCCTTGGCTCACACTAAGCAGTCGCTTAGGCACCCTACGAAATGAAGTTAAAAATCTCTTGGATTGCCCTTCACCCTGTACCACATGCCAGTAGGTTACAGCCTGACTCTTATACATCCATTTAATCCTGCTATTAAAACAACCAGACAGTTCATTAAGTCTAGCAAAAAGCTCAGCGTCCAAGAATCAATGAACCAGTCAAGTAATTCTGTTAATGAATTCAGCAACAACTCCCATTTGGTTAATAACCAATTAGCATTAGGCAACGAATGTGTCAGCAGCTAGCTAATAAAAATTGTAAATCAAGTCGTTAAGATTCACATAAACAAGAAACAAGTGCAACAACAACAACAAAAAATATGGAAGGAATAACAAATTTATTATGTGTGCATTGTTGCGTAAAAATTAAGCTACTTGACAAAACTATCGCCAGACATAAGAAAAATACAGGCAGCACAAACTGCCCAACGTTTCCAACCAAAAGCAGCAATGCAAAAAATTAACAAAACAAAATAATAAAAATGAAAATAAAAATACGAAAGAAGACCAACACAGCTCCATTTTTGGCAGACAGTCTGCTGACAAGACAACCAGACAAACAAAAAAAATAACAAAACAAAAAAAAGTAACAAAAAAACAACATTACAGCCAGACAAACAGCCACTCGCTTGCCCACCATAAGCACAGACCGTACCGTACTGGAGGAGGAGCTCTGGCATAAGGACATAAAAGCAATTTAATCTATTTATGCCATGGGAAGCAATGCGCTCGTAAATGACACTTCTGCAGCTCAACATAAACGCACACACATATACATACAACTCGTTTATACTCGTTGACACATTTCGAAATTCGCAATCCCGTATAATTTTTCTTTTTTTGTTTTTGCTCTCAGCTTAATCTACGCTGCTATATTCCATGTGGATATGAGACTCATTGTCACTTAAAAGGAGAAATCGCCAGCGCTTTCACTCGTTGGTACTGCTCTGCAACCCAAACGTTGAGTATGAATTGTTTTTTTTTTTTTGGGGTCAACTGGTTATTGGAGGGGTGGGTGGGGTGCGTATTGAAAGGCGAGGGAGGGCGACTACTTAACCACAAATTTTGCTCGCGATAAATACTTATAATCAAATTTGCATTTTCCCCCCCACTGCACTGTGACGCGCACAACAAGCGTATGGAATTTATTAGCGAAATTATTTTTATGCTATACTTATGCTTTTTCGTCTAGGGTCTGCAATGCGCTTGAGATTGACTTGTTTGGGTGAGTTGTTTTTGGCCGCAGGGCATTCAAACACTTTCCATTAATTTTTGTTGTTATATTTTGGATCAGCGTCGAATTGCTAATGGCAAGAAGCATAACCCATAAGCTATGTACATATACCATAAGTAGCAATAGACACTTTCATGCGCGACTGAATTTGCTTATTACATTAGACGCGCATGGGGGCGTATACGTGACGAAATGTAGTGCGATGTTGGAAAGTGAAATAAGTACATACTATGTGCGGACGAAAGTGAGCGCTCAGTGCAACAAGTAATCGGAAGTTTTTTTTTATGTACTGGTCATAAATGTTTTTCCATTTACTACGGGTAGTACAGTGGTGCACGAAATAATAGGACTGCGATGTTTTAACCAGTTACAACTATTTTTTTTTTTGTTTATTTAATTGTTTTATAAAAGTCCTTAACCTTATAAATTAACATTGCAAACTTTGTACGAAAAATATATGTACAAATTCTGCAAATTTTCACCAAAATTTTAAACTTTTTATTTTTTTTTGTAGCCCAATTAATACTAGTATAATAAATGTAAGTTTTAAGTTTTAGACTTTTTTTTGCTGGCAATATCTTCAATATGAAAGAAAATTGTCGAACATACTTTATGAACGTGAAACACCTTCAACCTAAAAAATGCTCAAAAATCAAGGGAATTTTTTACCAAACTGAAACTTGCTCTTCGTTATACTAGAATTAAATGGGCTACAAAACTGCATACCAAAAGTGCTTCGAAGATTCTTATTAAAAAAGTTTGAAAGTTTGGTGAAAAACCAAATAGCCTAAACGGATAAAAGTGCTAGGACTATAATATTAGCAAAGGAATTTTCTTTCAATAACACATTAGAATATTATTAAGCGGGGAGAGGAAGTCATCTTCTCCACGGCGGACCGATAAAGGGCACACAGTGCTGAAAAAGGGGTATTTTTTCCGACAAAATCTGGTATCACACTGTTCAAAAGTTCCCATTCGCAAAAATTTTGGAATTTGCTACTTAAAAATGTTAAGACTTAGAAAAAATATAGCCTAAAGTGCTCCCAAGGACAGAGGAAGTCTATTAAAAAATATTACGGTACGATATCTTGTGAACTTAGAAGCAAGTAGCGATGCAGCCACTATTACAGAAGCGCTTAAGGTATTAAACTTTAATGCAAATCAATAGACAGCGAGGCGAAGAATTGCCAATTTGAGCTCAAAGGCATCATAAAGAAGAAAAAAGCAAATTTGATCATAATACATGTGCGAGAGTGGCAGCATTTCGCTGTATCGCACGAAAACCGAACCTTTGCCTATTGGGATATGATAGGCCGTTCAGAATGCAATAAAAAAACATATTTTTAAGTTTCAATTGAAGGTTATTTGGTCTGACAAGACTAAATTAATCGCTTTCAATCAGATGGCCGGGCATGGTATTGGATCAAAGTCCCAAATTAAGCCAAAGCGCATCATGTACTGCAAACTGTGAATCACAGTGGTAGGATCTTAATTGTTTGGGGTTGTATTTAAAAAATTTTGTTTGTCCGTTAGTACGTATTATGCGTAAGGAACAGTATCTGTTCATATTTCAACAAAATTTGCAAGATGTAGTCGAAAAAATGAGAGTTTCTGCTGAAAAATCACTCAAAACACACTGCATATGTTCACAAAGCCTGGATACAAAAAGGAAAATTTGCTAATATGAAATGACCTCCACAATCCACGGATATGAATCTCATTGAGAATTTGCGAAAACAACTAAAAGCACAGCTTACTAAGTGTCTAAGTCCGTAAAATCGAGTACATGAGCTGTGAAAGCAAACTAAGGATATACCTCCAGAATTTTTACAGAGATACAAATAAGGTATGCCAAATCGCATCCAGGAACTGAAACAAGCAAAAGAGTACTGAACATTGTGTTAGTAGTTCTTTTTTTCGTGAAAATTGTTAAAAAGCTCTTAAAAATATATGAGTGCAAAACTGTAACATATGCCTTAATTTACATTTTTGTCTTCTGTTTTTTTTATTGTTGTTGTATTGACTTCAAATCATTATGAGAGAAGGAGTAGGGATGTACCAACAAGAATATACAGCAAAAGTATGAAAGTCGTTAGAACTTGGAAATATAGCGGTGGCTGAAACAAAAAGTGTTAAACCATGTTACAGTTTTGCTCGTCACTGTATATGATGCCACAAAATTTCCTACTAGCGACTACGAATTCTTGCGAGGCAAGGTGTCAAGAAATATGGATCAATTCCTGTCTATGCAGAAGCTTGCGGTTTACTTGGCGCAGTTAGGCAACTTCTGCCTGCTTGATTGCTTCTGTTCTGTTTCGAGGCTATCTCGATTTCAATTTCGAGGCTAAAAAACTACAATGGTGCCGGAGCTAAGATATTCAAGTACATTGGCAGGGAGCTGATAAAATGTAAGCATTTTTATGCAGAATATATGTAGTGGAACGATTGCATGCCCGCCGGTTAGAATTTAAGTGTGATCTACTCAATCCAGCCAAATGTGCTGTGTGTACGAAAGGCTTAAGTCCAACGTCAAAGAACTGTTTGAGTTATAGCAGAGTGGTTTAAGACCATACTCCAGCTATTTACCAAAAGCCAAATCGGCACACAGCATCTCTTCGTTGAGTGTGAAACGGCATTCGACGAACTTGAAATTTTTAAGTGCAAAAATCTACATTGTAAACATTGCTTAAATTACTAAACTGGAAATATTTTCTTTTTGCATACACTCTGCAAAGCTAAGCATAAGTGAAATTTCTTCTGGCGAAAAATATGCAATACAAATATTTTGCTTGTTAAGTGCGCCAAAAATGTTAAGGATGTGTGTGTGTGTGTATCGCATATCGCATCTCCTTTAACTTCCTTACAACATTATTATTTTTTCTTGTTTGGATGCGAGAAATATTTGCTCATAACACATACATACATACCTATGTACATATATTTGCGGCATAAAATTCAAAGGCATTAAAGAATTTAGGGAAAATTTAAATTTACATATAGACTACATATTTACTTACATACCTTCAGTTATTTCGATTGGCTTTTTGTATGCACACAATGTGTAGAAGCGATTGATTGGATTACAATCAGATGTCTGCAAAAAAAAGAGAAAATTTTAATTTAAGTTATATTTCTATATATGTACGCAAATACATAAATATGTATGTACATTAGGGTGGCCCCTAAATGTTGGAAGCAAATTTTTACATCAGATTTCCTAAGCCTCCACCCCTACGTCGATACCACTATAGTCGAAGAAATCACATATAATTTTTGCTCCCAACTGGAGTCGGTTAAGGCGTGCGGCACAGGGGTCAAACCTCAGATTCCTCTATAGAGACTCAAAAAATTAAAATAATTTTTTTTTTCATCTAATATCCGAAATCGGTACTATCATAGTCGAAGATATCACATATGAATTTTGGTCCCAATTGAAGTCGGTTAAGGCGTGTCGCACAGGG